TCGTAGAAATTGTGCCAGTAGCTATAGCAGCCAAAATTTGGAGTGCTTTATGGACACGTCGTAAAATACTAATACATCCTGATAATGAGGCTTTAGTTTTTAAAAATTTTTGAGCAAGATCATGGGAAAAAGTTTTTCTAAAGTACCCCGATCCAAAAGTTATTGCGTACCACATAATCAACCATGGAGAAAACGAATCTGCAATCGGTTTCGACCGAACAAGCTTTTGAAATTTTTCGATCCGGTGATATGACATCCTGATAATGAGGCTTTATTATCCATCATTAACAAAGGCCGTTCAAAATCGCCTGCAGTTATGCACTTTTCGAGAAGATTAACGTTATTACAACTTGAAAATAATTTCTGTTTGCAAGCAAAACATATACTAGGTATCACGAACACCATAGCCAACGCTCTATCAAGAACTGATTTTGCCAGATTTAGAGAACTAGTCCCATATGCAAATGAATATCCATATGATTTACCATATGGCTTATGTATAGCTACGTCCCTAACATGTTCTGATGTAAAGTGGGCTTACTTATCCAGAAGAGAAGACTACCAGTACACTGGTGATAGTTTCCTCGACTAAGCTTCTGCTTCTTGCTGCTAAACATGACTTCTGCTTTTCTATCTAGTAGAAAGACATTCTCGCAAGATGAAACAGACGGATCTATTCAGTAACTTACGCCTTTGGTTCAAGAAATTGCGGTCTTTTGCGTTGTATGACACAACGGGATCCTCGTATGCATCGGGACTTAGAACGTTCAAACGATTTTTGCGTGACTTTACTGGATCTCGTACAGCAGAAAGTACAGACTATGTTATTGAACAAGTCATAATTTATTGTGTAGGAGTCCGACTCCTAAAGAAGATACCCTTTAATGGAACTGGCTCGAATGTTTAACTTAAACATTCGAGCCAGTTCCATTAAAGGGTATCTTTCCGCAGCACGATTTGAATGGCTACGAAGGGGTGGACAGGATCCTTCTCGTCAAGCTAACGATTTCCGAAAATTCACAATCTCTGTTTTATGAAAGCTACAGAAAGATTAGAAGGACCATCACCTAGAATTCGTAGATCAATCACTTTTACATTGCTTACTAAACTTTTTGCTCTATTGAATGGTACATACGTTTGAGCTTACTGGGATTCAATGCTAAAAATTATTTTTACTATATTTCATGGTTTCCTGCGATCAGGAGATGTTGGTGCGGATAAATATCATCCACCATATCACCGATAGGTGAAATTTTTCAATAGAACTAGAGTCAATGAAAACTGCATTTTCCGATAGAGGATCCAGTCGATTGCATATGTGTCCACCAAAATTGGCTCGGGGTACTGCCAGTTGGGAAGCAAAGAATTTTTGAAAAGTTTTCAAGGGAAAGAAAAAAGAAGGAAACAAAAATATAACGACTCGAGCAGGAATTGAACCCACGCCGTAAGAATTCTCTTATATTCTTCATAAAAAGCTTTTGCTTCCCGACTGGCAGTACCCCGAGCCAATTTTGGTCGACACATATGCAATCGACTATCCTCTATCAGAAAATGTAGTTTTCACTGACTGTAGTTCTATTTAAAAATTTCACCTATCGGTGATATGTCAGAAACTTATTATTACAAGACCTCAAATTAACAAATTCAAAATTACTAATACATCTCAAACGTTCTAAAATGGACAGAAGTTGTCGCGGTGTTACCATTAGACTTTATAAAATGCCACACTCACTATGTCCAGTACTAGCTATGCAGAAATATTTAAAACGTCGTACAGCTTTAAAACCAATTCCCCGCAGCATCCACTTTTCTTGATGCCGGATGGAAAAGTCTTAACACGAGCAAGCATGTTGAAGAGACTCAGGACACTGTTAACATCTTTAGGTTATACTGCAATACATTACTCGGGACATTCTTTTCGTATTGGTGCTGCCACTTCGACAGCAAAAGCAGGAGTACTTATCTATTTGATCAAGATTTTAGAACAATGGAGTTCGCAAGCTTATCGTCGTTATATTCGTACTTCTGCATCCTGTATTATACAAGTTCTTACGACAATCACAGCTGTTTAGGGGGTTTTATCTCCCATTTTTCTTGTATTTATTTTACGCTTGTCGATACTTTGTGCCCATTATTTGCGAAAATATAAGATGAAAAGCGAATCGAGTTCTTGGAAAAACTTGAAGCGAAAACGGGCCTCAAGCTTGATCAGTGCGATGGTTGTGGAAACTCAGGTACGAGTACTACAGGCCAACAACGACGTCGCTTTTTCAGTTCTGAGCTAACAGAAAAAGTTATTGAATTAGTTCCCAATTCACATCAGGAGAACTTTCGAACGCTGATGAAACTTTATTCAGTTATACTCAGAGCAGTGTCGTCTACACAGACAACTCATTTAACAAAACTTCGGAAGGCTACAAGGGCTTTTACACTGTTTCTGACAACGGAATTTCCTTTCGTCGAATGCAATTTAACTGTCCACAACTTGATTTTTCATAGTTGTGAATTAATCGAACGAAACAATGGTGTAGGTGTGGGAGAACTATCCGAGGAGAGTTTGGAGTCGATGAATAAAGATGTTCGAAATTTTTGTGAGCATCTTGCCCGAAAATGTAACCATCTCTCGAATCTTTCCGACATTTTCACCCGATTATTCCTTCGATCGGATCCAGTTATTCAATATGAAAC